GCATTCAATAAATCGATAAAAGGGAATGGTTCTTTTGAGTTTGTAGTACTGCATGTATATCCGAAAGTTGCACATGCACATGCTTCCTATGATGGTTGGTCATTGTTGAAGGCCGTATGGTTACATACATTTGTATTACATTTCTTAGCCTCGGAGAGTTGTCGCATTGGCAATCACACCACATGTTCATATAGTTAAATGCTGAGGATCTCTTAATTTGTGTGGATGATTGAACTTCTATTTCTATTATATTAATCATATAATGATTAGTCCTTACATTCGATATAAAGTTTTTTTTGGAATGAAAGTCATACTAATGCATACAAAATCTATTTAATTCCAACAGCGCTTGTGCATTTTTTAGAACTTTTACAAATATATAAATAAAAGGGATTTATGCAAGTACATGCAACTGACAGACAATTATCATCTGCAAAGGTTCTTCCTAATGGATTGATGAGGATGAAGAGATATACTATAGAAAACCGCTACGAAATGGGTAATGCTGTATAGCGAGTTTACATTTTACCCTTTGACAGGCATGATTGTTTTACAATAGTTCTATAACGCACAAGAGCATAGGATTTAATAGTCCCATTCCGACCGGACATGGCCGATTGGTCATGTTGGTCAACCCTTGATATCTATCAGCCTTATACAGTTGTTCACATGCATAATAGACGAGCATTCAACATAAAAATAAAAAACAAACAAAAAAGAAAAACTGAAAAACCTCGAAACCTGTCGAAATCAATGACATCTTTGGACAAAAAAGCTTATATCATTACACATCAATTTGTTTCAAAATTACCATCAGTAAATTGTGTCTATAGAGTGCTGTTTTAACAATGTTTACACCGAACATTAATTGAAAATGACAGTTTAGGTTGGTTAAATCAAAAGAAATCGGTAGAGGCGGGAAAATGTTAAATTTAAAAACAAAATCAAACGTTGGATGTTACATTTTCTTTGATGTACTCAAGTGTTTAGTGGTTCCATATAGGGAACAAAATATTCGTTTTATTCAAACAGTAAATAGTCTACTGACATAAAATTATTTGTTTATATTTTTTTTCAAAGTCATTTATCAAATATTCATCTAGACCGTATTCCAATAACCGAAGCATTAATTACTTATAAATACTATTCAAATGTTTCAACTATATCCCGCTAGACGTTACGCAAATAGTAGTTACTCCAATTGTACATGCATTGTATACTCTTAAATATTTTAAACTTTAACGTTGAAGCTTTAATTTCTCATTACATGATTTGATAATTATAAATATTATTAGAAAGATAATGCGCTGGCAAGAATTATTAGTATTTCGCATTGCATTTCATTTTGAATGCCTGTAAACAGAATAATAATACAAAAGGAAAACATATATAAAGCTATAGAATATATTACAGATAAGAAGCTATATCATGCATCTGCTGAAGAAGTCTTTCCTTTACCTAGTACGATATGTTTAGAATTGACACATATGATTTTTGACCTGATCCAAAGATAATTGCTGCCTTTAGTAGTATATATGCATAGATATATATGAAACAAGTGATTTGAGCTGAGTATTGAGGACCACTTGGGAAAGATTGGCCATTCACATGTGGAAAACGATGTATAAATGTAGAGAATGGGCTATGAACATTACAAATGACCAAATGATTGACTTTTTACGTACTATTAAAAAAATCATCTGATACATGTAGATACGTACTTTATAATGTGAACTTAAACATGTACCAATTCTACAATGTCTTGATAACTGTCGGCCATAACCGGCAGTAGCTGTTATTTCAGGTTAATTTGTCTACGCTATTTGTTTTTCTTTATTTTGTAAATTTTCCTGATAATGTCTTAAGAACCAAAATATTTGCATAGGCTATTGTATTGCCATGGGGAAGACTACAGTGGGTATCTAAACTATTCAAACACATATGGTATCGTTAACTCGTGTTCAAACATAACACGGTCCCTGATATAACAAAATGAAAGTATGTTGACTAGCCATTCTCCGCCTCTAGCTTTTAATTCATCATAAGAATACAACAGATATACCTGGCTGTGTTTTAGTTTTAACATCTTATTAGAAATACTCAATGGGTCGGTTGAAAAATAAACTATTCGACATGATTATGCTTTCTGTAAGATTGTTCTTTGGACAACTTGAAGTCATTATTTTGCAATAAAGTATACACATTTTTTGGGGAAAACGTTTAATTGCCTGATATTTAACATATCATTTGTTGATAGTACTGTGATTCTCTGTATTCTGTGAAAGGAATATTTGCAGGACAGTTGGTAGTACAAACATAACAATTGTCGTCTAGAACTGCAAGGCTTTAGTTTCCTAACGTGATTTCATTGGATGCGGATTGTGGCTTCCAAGTTAGCATTTGGAACAAGAACATGATTGGTACCATTTTTTTTTGTGCACGAGATGCGTATTTTCACAATAAATATTTCTCCAGTGAAGCTCGAAGCGAATATATTTTAATATAAAAAATATAATATCAAGAGCTGATTAAATCATTTAAAGGAACCTTAAGAATACTTTAAAAGAATCAGTGAATGTTGAAGTTGAAGTTGATTCATTGATTGATTGCTGCTTTATATATGACAAGTAAAAATGCTTTAATGCATATTCAAAACGACAAACTGTACAGTTAACATGATTCGAAAATGAGAAGAATAGGATAAAGTTCGTGAAATATGGAAAGCCATTGGAAAAAGTGGTAAATTAAAAAAAGGCTTCCAAAAGGATAAGAGTGTGGCGAACTTTCTAGACGAGACTTTGATTGTACGTTTCCCTCCTTAGCGAACTTAATATCTGCATCCCGCTCAATCGAAGGGAATTTGGAAGAACACCATGATGAACATTTTTGCAAACACCATTCAAGCATGGGCTGGTAATCTGGAGTCATTTCTTTGGACGTTTTCACAGACGCATTACGATATGGTTGTTCGTTGATCACATACATGCTCCTTAATTTGTAGTAACGATTTCATACTCCTCTCTCTCATATGACATCACGTTATGCATTGATTGTAATCACGAACTGAGCTAACGTATGCAGTGAGAGCAAACGAACATCGGTTGTATTTTAGCCTCGAACATTACTGAAGAGACATTGATTGTCGAAATGCGCGTCTGGTGCAGAACAATGTGTACCATTTATGTTATTGCGAATGCGAATGTATTTAATTCGTGTATATTCGAAATATATCCAAAGAAGGATATTGCATGTACAATCTCTTGATTTAAACCATATGCCGACATTGGATGTACAAACCTAATATTATTTTAGCAACTCAGACATCAAAGACATACTAAGCCTTACCATACCTCCACCTTTGATTAAAGATGCTACACAAAATATGTTCAGTGTTTTGACATATATTTGATTAACATTATGACATCTCTATATGAAACTATGAATGTATAGCTTAGAAGAATGTATATTCGAAAATAAATTTAATTTTTGAAAATAATATAGAGTAAATACATTGAAGATACCGATATATTTCCTTACAACCGCCAGTTTTTTTCAAGATATATAATTACAATGTATCAAGTTATTCCACTACAATGTTATGATAGTTTGTGTATATATAGACAATAATTGTTTAGTGTCTTTACATATCAGCTGTATTTATACGCGGCTAAGTAACAGGTGTAATGCAAGCTTCAGCGAGCTATTACATCGTACAAATACAGATGATATTTAAAGACACTAAACAGTTAGTGTCTTTATCCTGCAGTTGATATTGTACATTGTTTTTGTTTTGAACGACAGATAAACTCACATTTATTGCATTTATCTTCGATTTAAAATATAGTCGTTTCTGTTTATTTTACATTTTAGGCGTAGTAATATTCAAACAAATTTACACAGCCGATGACCGGTACGCCGAAAAGAATTCCGCATGGTCAACAATCATACATCGCTCAAAGTAAATAATTATTTCTTATAACATAACAACTTATTTCAACAGTAAAAATAGATAACAAAACATTGTTCAATTAAAACAAAAGTGTATGATTTGTCCTATGCTTCAGAATTTTGAACGGAACGTGACATTCACTGACTGAACATGCTGAAATTGAAAATGTTGCATGGTTGATTTTTTGTGTTACAAATGTACACATTCAAGCTATCAACTTGTAAATTGGCGCCGTAGAACATGGAGTTAATCCTGCTATTCATGTTTGTCTGTTAGCAGAAAATGGGTTTATTTCATATTGCTCTAACGATATGCTTGAAAACAGAATGTAAATTAATCTTTGGTTCCCAAAAGGTCAAGCAATACGTCATTTGAATGCGACTGCAATACACATTCAGTGGTCACGGAGGCTCAAACAACGATCGTCAACAGCAATACAAAAACGTAGTCCGACAGTGGCGGAGCTTTAACATGATATCTGTATAGTATAAAGATACAGGCTAGCGATATCTGTTGGGCTGTTATTGTATAATAAGACACCCAATTGCAGGATAAATAATGTTATTTGAATAAACATGTTATATATCATATAAAAAATTTAAATAGCAATACACTGCGATTGTAAACTTTTCTTCCGTTCTTATTTATGTAGGTAATCGTGTAAACGCAGTAGAAGCACTAATGTTTAGCTTTCAAAATCATTGTTTTTAATATAATATATGAACTTATTAATTGATCTTTTGGTGGAAAGTATGCAGATGATACACAGTCTATGTAATTTTATCGAGTACAATGTTTAAATTTAGAATACATAATCCGGTAAATAACAGGTGATATCCTATTTAATACACACTGTGACTGTTCAAACGGTTGATATGCTGGTATACTCATATTACACGTTCAATAGATAAAATGTCCGTTAGCATTATATATGTATTTATTTTAACTTAAACTTCACTTCAACATAAAAAAAAACAACTAATGTTTGAATTGTTCAAATACAATCTCGTCAATCATTTATATACACTATTTATCGTACTTGATTTCAATTTAGAATTCGCTGTCATGTGATACAATCACCTGTCATACCTGTGTTTTTGATCGAGTGCACAATGGCTCAAGCTGCGTCTAAAACATGCGAAGTTTGCGTGAGTGCCCCTGGATCTCACTATTGCATAGACTGTGAGGAATACTATTGTGAAAATTGTAAGTTGCTACATAATAGGCAGAAGTTATCGAGAAACCATCAGTTTCAAAAAGCCTCCGACCTGATCCCGGAAGGTAAATCTAAATGTAGTGAACACAAAGAAGAACTAACCTTGATGTGTAACACATGCAATGTTCCGGTATGTACCAGTTGTGTCACAGGAAATCACTATGGGCATAAATTTTCCAAATTTGTCGATGCAGTCGCTAAATTACAAGGGGATAATGAAGCGAAAATTCGTACCAAGACGAATGAGGCAAATGAAAATATGAAGAAGATTGAGGAAAGCTTAAGATTGTTTGATACTGCCGTTGAGTCTGTTATAAAAGCCATCACCGATGAGGGCAACATGATTAAATACATGGTTGATAAATCCGTAGCTCAGACGATTGCTTTAGTGAAAAAAAAATCCAAGAATGAGAAAGACAAACTGATGAATATGTTGTCTGATGCTAAATCCGTACTTGCTGCTGGACAGACCTTAGACAGAAGGAGACAGGAACTAGATAAGACTCGACAGGACGAGAGTTTGGTACAACAGATTAATAATCTGAAAGAAGAGATCAGCAAACTACACATAAACTCTCTTCCCGAGTTTCCCAACATATCCTTCAATCGCAAATCTGTAGCTGACGATGACATCAGGCAACTGATAGGTACCTATACTATCAGGTAAATATACAAATATGAGTTTGTCTGCTGAATTGAAATAGTTTTCTACAGTAACCCTTAAAAACTGCAAAATAATAATTAAAGCAATAAAAAAAAAACATTTAAAGGTTAATATAAAGTGTCAAATAGTTGACAAACAAAGTCACCATAAATAAAGCTTAAATGTTGAGGCAGACCTGGTCTTGTTCAAAAGATCTTCAATCAAAACTAAAATTTTAATAAGAAAACATATACGATTAAACAATTGGCAACCACTGATGTGGACGCTGTTTTGCGATTAACGCACAGCTAACTGTAACGGAATTACTTCTTGAACAACAAATTGAAAAACAAAAAAACAAAAATAGAAAAAGAACTTGATCGATTTAACTTGTCGTATATATGACCCGAAAGTACCAGGTATTATTACTTAAAAGTTAACATTTAATTAAAACATAAGTTGTCTAATCTGGCTAAGACCATCAATGACTAGAAGAGGAAAATAAACCTGATGCTTTCAATTATGTCAATGCCATTGATACCGTAGCTTGTACAAGTTTGAGTTGAACAGGTCAGATGAGATAGTAGTTGAACATGAAAAAAAAAGACACAAATTACCGTCATATAAGTCATTGTAGTATCATTTAAAAAAAAAACGTTATATATTCATATTTCACAAATCGTGTATTGATTGCATTGTTTGCATTAATAAATGGCAAACAAATGATTTGTCATATGTATGAAAATCTTGTTTTAAATTAACATGACTCTTTGATATTAAAACAGTAAATGAAATGTTCAAAAGAACCAGAATTTACGTAGAACTTTTTCATTAACGCATAAAATGACGAGATAAAATATACTTTCCAAGCCACTCGTTATAATTGTTTTAACAACATTACAAAAATTGTAAAACAAAACCATTATCTTTTCTATAGTAAGTGTTCATCAAACGAAGAAAAACAAAAGCAAGAACATGGAGACTTATACAGATGTTTTAAGTGTGGGAAAGTTCTCACAGACAATCACCTCGTCCTTTTGATTTTAGCCCATACATAGTAAATAAAAATAAAATAACAGAATAAAGCTATTTGTTCAAGTGACCAATAATTAAAATGAATGAGATACTAAATACAATAGACAATAAGGAATCGTATGATCAATAAATGTAGTCATTATACTTCTGATTTTGTCGCAGCATAGTTCAGTCATCTCTTTGAATATAATACGTCAATCAAATGACTATTTGCAAAAAATAGAAACCAACTTATTTTCGCAGAATTTGTTTTTTTTTTGCGTTTAGCTCTTTTCAGGCGATTGCATGGCTATTTAGTTTCACGAATTTCTTTTAAACTTTGCTTATTTAAAGAATAGAAGATTTAAGTTTTATATTTTCTGAACTATTTATTTTTGCGTTTTTTTATTCTACCCAAGAAAATTGATTGCCTGTCGAAATGTGCAAACTCTTTTAGGTCATTTTTTAGTAGCAACAAACAAAAGAGTTATGTCAATTGGACATGCTTTGATACTATATCTGCCCTTGAATTTTTACTTGATAACATTTTTGTTCGCTTAGGAGATTCCGTATATCGTCAAGTTATCGGAATTCCAATGGGAACTAACTGTGCACCACTTATTGCGGACCTGTTTTTGTATTGTTATGAGTTACAATTTATGACTAAAATCAGCAAAGACCCATCGAAACAACATCTGATACAAAAATTTTACAATATTTTTAGATATTTGGATGATATATTGGCTCTCAATAATGACGACTTTAGTATGTATACTAAAGAAATTTATCCTGTTGAACTTACTTTAAATAAAGCTAATACTAACAATGACCACTGTCCTTTCCTCGATCTTGATATCTAAATCATTAACGGGATGCTTAATACAAAAATTTATGATAAAAGAGATGATTTTTCATTTCCTATCGTTAATTATCCATTTTTAGATGGTGACGTTCCCTTGTCACCATCTTATAGTGTTTATATATCTCAACTTGTACGATTCGCTCGTGTATGTAACAACGTTTTAGATTTTAGCGAGAGAAATGTTTGTATTACTGAAAAATTATTACACCAGGGTTTTCGATATCATAAACTAGTCAAAACATTTACTAAATTTTATCATCGGTATAAGGACATCATTCGTAAATATAACTCAACATGCAGACATCTTATACGTTCGGGTATTTCACATCCAATCTTTTATGGTAATATGCTTTACAAAGCACAAAAATGTCAGTGTTCACCTCAAAAGCTAATAAAACCTTTAAACAGACTTATTAAGAAGAGATATAGTTACGATACTGTTGTCAGGTCATTAAAGATTGCATATTTTGGCGTTAATATTGATTCACTTATAGGGTCTTTGCATCGGAATTAAACATATTTATTCTAAAACCAGTTGTTGGCATGACACGGGTTATGTTCTTCTCATATATTTTATGATGGTATAATACTAAACCCCTAACAGGAGGGATTGTGCCTGATATTCATATGATGAAGACATGATCTTTCAATCAGTTTAATTGAGGTCTGGAGCTGGCATGTCAGTAACTGCTAGTAGTCTGTTGTTATTTATGTATTATTGCCATTTTGTTTATTTTCTTTTGTTTCCAATTCTGACATCGGACTCGGACTTCTCTTGAACTGAGTTTTACTGTGCGTACTATTGTACGTTTGTTTTTTCTACATTGGCTAGAGGTATAGGGGGAGGGTTGAGATCTCAAAAAACATGTTTAACCCCGCCGCATTTTTGCGCCTGTCCCAAGTCAGGAGCCTCTGGCCTTTGTTAGTCTTGTATCATTTTTAATTTTAGTTTCTTGTGTATAATTTGGAGTTTAGTATGACGTCCATTATCACTGAACTAGTATACATATTTGTTTAGGGGCCAGATGAAGGACGCCTCCGGGTGCGGGAGTTTCTCGCTGCATTGAAGACCCATTGGTGGCCTTCGGCTGTTGTCTGCTCTATGGTCGGGTTGTTGTCTCTTTGACACATTCACCCATTTCCATTCTCAATTGTATTAGTTTACAGTATTTCAAGATATTCCTAGTATAAGCCAGCACACAGAAAAAATCCGAAAACTGTTTGAAGTAAGCAATTATTGCATTCAGTATTTTTTTTTTATACTGAAAAGGAAAAAACGGACAAGGGTCGTCTGTTTAAAGTTATTGTAGAATTGAAAGGAATTGGAATTGACAAAAAGTTTATTTTTAATTAAAAGGCACACAACCTACTGCATCCTTCCATCCATCCATCCATCATTCTCGATTTTCTATTTGACTCGATATCTTATATTACATTGTTTTAATATTTGACATGCATACTTGTTAAGTCATATATCTCAATAACTAGATGCTTTTTGCACCTTAAAATGAACGATTGTCAAAGATATAGATGGAAGACTTAAATTTCCTAAAATAGAAGAAATAAACATTCAATTCATTCGATTCCGATCTGAACAAAAATAAATAAATGAGGACGTTTAACTCGATTTTTCATGTACATGGGGAATTAGGAATGTCATTTAAGTAGCCTATTGAACAGGATTGAAAAAGCTATAAAGTTTTAAACTTATATACCTATATGAATTATATCCTTTCAGAACGATAGGTCATTTTGTTTAAGAATCTACCCGGACGTTACCAAGTTTCAGTGAAATGCGCTTCAAGGCATAAAATAATGACCTGTGTAAGGTCATTATTTTTCCTGATTTAAATGCAAACTACAGATGTTAAAACATTTAATTAATTTGATAACAATCTTGTGTTGTTGCCAATTGCGGTTTTACCGTACAATATTTCATCTTTAATATTAGACTGAAATTCCAACACAAAAAAGACGTTAACGCATGGTTTAATTTTCGAAACAATTGGCCACCAAGGGTGACAGGGGAATGGTAATACGGTCACTCTTGGTTTTCTTCCGACCGGCAGTAAGACCCTGGCCAGAGTGGAGCGACCGTTTAATTGTGCGGGATGTACAACTACGCCGCCACGTCAGGTCAACATGGGGACGTTTAATCCGATGCCTTGATTAGATAGAGTGCCACGCTCTGTGGTTAAGAACCCTTGCAGCAACTCAGAGGGGCCCGTAGGGTCTGTTGCGAGGCAAAATTTCTTTTCCTATCCAATATACCCTCATTTTCTAGTGGCAGTCCAAGTTTCCCCGACCTTCATCTATTACTGCCCCCATTACAGGACCTACTTATTGTATTGATTGTGTTAATGTGGTCGTTCTGATGGAGGATGATATTATCCTGATTCAAACTTTTTGACGAAAAAAGACTATTGCAAGATATCAGAGATAAAACAATTCTTGTGAATAATCCCTTTAAAATTGTTAAAAAAAGTATTTGCTTTTGTGTGGTGCAAATGTCACGAAACAAGACAAATAAATATAAAACCCCCTTT